TATATATATATAATATATATATATATATATATATATATATATATATATATATATATATATATATATATATATGCAATTTGTTTGTTGTTTATGGATTTGATGTAGTACTTCTGTCTATGCATATTTATTTTATTTACTTTACCCAGTGGTGGTTTTACTTTGATTGAGTACAGCATGATTGGTGCAATATTCATACTCGGTAACCGTTTTGGTGGCCTTTTGCACTAGTGCTGTTTTTGTACCCACTCCCAATGACATACCTTGTTATGGCAGAATGGTTTTACCAATTTTATTGGTTGTATGTACCTTCTGTTTGAAACTGGAAGGTTATTATCTTTAGTTAGCATGCATTTTGTTTTGTTAAACATTTATTATTATTTAATTGTCTGTACAAAATTAATTCTGTTTATTCATAATTACGTGCATGTAATTTTTATCGGTATCCTTTCACTTCTGTTGTTGCTATTACCATTGTTATTATCATGCGATAGAACACTGATATTTAGTACAGTTTATTTTCTGTCAACAATTTATTTTGTCAACAGTATGCCACCAAAGCGTACAGCACCAGTCACCAGGGCAGCTACAGCAAAGCGTAAGGCAGCGACAACCACATGTTCTGATCCAGTGGAAACATCAAGTAATCCTTCGGCGATGCTGCAAGTTCCCACTACCGATCAGCAAGGTGAACAGCGAGTTGCTGCAGTCACAACACGTAATAATGCTGCACTTGGATCCAGAGGGGTTAGCAGCCTCTATCTCACATGCAGTCGTTCAAGGTTTGAAGGATGCTGGTCTTTGCAACGTTGCAATCCCAGCAGAAGCTACTGCATCTCAAGTCGTCCAACCAGTTGTCAATGACATTACGGGTAATGGACAGGGGTTCAGGCTGCTAGACAGCCACTGGGTCAGATTAGTGATTTGTCTGTAATTCAGGTTACACGGCAACCTATAATTCAGGGTTCAGAGAGAGAGCTGCAGCCAACCACACTGTTCACTAGCCAGTCTGTACCTTTGGTAGCAAGGGTGTCAGATAAGGTTAAATATAAAATCACTGCGGGATGGTAGGTACACCGTTGCATTATCTGATGGTGTGGGTAGGCCTCAGCTTTGTTTTGAGCCCGCTGCTAGTACTAATAAAATTACGTCACTTGAGCAGTGGATTTCTGCATTTAACATCTTTGTAGCAGTGCATACTATAAGAAGCCTGAGGATATTTCAGGTCTTATGAAATATGGAGAGGTGGTGCATGACCTGGCAGCCAACAGGCTGGCTGGATGTTTTATGATGAGCAATTTCGCTTTCTGAAGAAATGTCAATGCTGGTCGAAGCTTTTCGACTTCTAACAAATCGGAGTTTGCTAATTCATTTCAGTCCTTTCCGAAAGGGTTCTGTTGGCGTTCTCATGGGGGAAAGTTCTGCACTGGGTGCAGTTTCGACAACAAGTGCTTCAAGTGTGGGGCAACTCATCCAATTTTCAAATGTGGTTCCCGCAGTTCCACTAGTCAAATCAATGGAGGATTGCCACAGCAAGCTAACACCAGAAAAGGAGAGAGCCCCCACTATACTCCCCGGGGTCCTGTTGGCTCCAAACCCCCAACTGCTGCCTTTAGTGGTAACGCCAGTAAAAGTGCCCATTCTGAGTAGATTACTGACGGGTTTTGAAGTGGGAAAGGCGTTGTATTTGTCGGATGGTTTTTCAAAAGGGTTTTCTTTAAAATATGTAGGACTGAGAGTTGGAGGGTAATCCCATAATTTGAAATCTGCATTGAATAATCCAGACATTGTTTGGGATATGCTTCAAACTGAGGTGCAGGCAGGCAGGGTTGCTGGTCCCTTTCAAGCTCCACCATTTAACAATTTGTGGATTTCTCCTTTAGGACTGGTGCCCAAGTAACAACCTAACAAGTTTCGCTTAATCCACCACTTTTTGTCCATTAGGCTCATCAATAAATGATGGTATTCCAGCCGAGTTGGCAACTGTTCAGTATGCCAATATTGATGATGCAGTTAAGAATATTAGGGATCTGGGTCTAGGCTGTTTTATTGCTAAAACTGACATCAAATCAGCATTTAGAATTATTCCAGTAGCTCCACATGACCATTGTTTGTTGGGTTTCAGGTGGGATGATCATTTCTTTTTCGATAGATGTCTTCCAATGGGGTGCTCAACATCATGTCGCATTTTTGAACATTTTAGTTCAGCTTTAGAGTGGATTTTGCTTAAAGTTGTGGGTGTTGAGGCAACTATCCACATTTTGGATGATTTCTTATTTCTGGCATGAACTAGGGAGCGCTGTTTTTCGGATTTGCAGGCTTTTTGGATTTGTGTGCTGACCTTGGGGTTCCAATTGCACAGGAAAAAACTAGGGGACCCAACACTTCCATGGTGTTTGCAGGTATTGAGTTAGACACAGTTCAAGGCAAGTGTCGACTGCCACAGGATAAACTGTTGCGTTGCCACAGCTTGATTGATACTTTCTTAGTAAGGAAAAAGGTGATGCTCAAGGAAATTAAGTCAGTCAGTGGGGACCTTCAATTTTGCATGCATTGTGGTGGTTCCAGGCCGGGCATTTTTGCATAGGTTAATTGATTTGACAAAAGGGATAAAGAAACCAATTTTTTATATCCGGTTGACCAAAGAGTTTAAAGCAGACCTGCTTGTGTGGAAGCAGTTTTTGGATAGTTATAATGGGAAGACAATTTTTATAGATGCTATCTGGCATTCGTCCGAATCTCTTTGTTTGTTCACAGATGCAGCTGTGGTACGGTGGCATTTTTAGTTCTCATTGGCTTTTTTTGGGAGTGGCCAGCTGACTGGAAAGTTCTTAATATTGCAGTCTTGGAGTTATTTCCAATCATGCTGGCTCTTGAAATGTGGGGGCATTATCTCAGTAACAAGCAGGTGTTGTTCTTCACTGACAATGCGGCCCTGGTGTCAGTCTTTAATAAGCAGTCGGCAAAGGATAATGACCTAATGGTTTTAGTTCGTCGGATCGTGCTCATTGGCCTTCAGTTTAACATTCTTTTTAGACCAAAACATATTCTAGGCAACAATAACATTTTGGCCGACTGTCTTTCTCGTTTGCAGGTGGATCAGTTCAGATCAATGGCTTATGGCATGGATACCAAATCAACCACAATTCCTTCACATTTGCTACCAGTTTAACATTCTTTTTAGACCAAAACATATTCTAGGCAACAATAACATTTTGGCCGACTGTCTTTCTCGTTTGCAGGTGGATCAGTTCAGATCAATGGCTTATGGCATGGATACCAATTCAACCACAATTCCTTCACATTTGCTACCAGTCAATTGGAAATGGAAGTAGGCAGACTTTTACAGCAGGCTATTTGCAGCTCCTCTAGCAGCCTCACAAGCTGCTTCAGATGGGTTGTCTGATGCTCAGATCTGTGTTTTAGGTAGATGGAAGTCAGATGCATTCAAGGGATATATTAGGCAACCAGCAGTATGGTATTACAGGAATAGATGAAACATGTTTTGCACTTGAATATAGGTCAGGCAGGGGCCGCTATATATGGGTGCCTTACATTGTTCTGTTTTCCCTTCTATTCGATATAGGTCAGGCAGGGGCCGCTGTATTCGGATTCAAGCAATTTAGTTAGTGTTCACTTAACTAATGTACTTTCATAAGGAGTTACCTCTGCTTCTGTTCATTTTGGGTGGGGCGGCCACACACTAGTGTGGCTTGTGGCGTTTCTGGGGCCCACACCTTTGTGGGAGATTAATTTGTGCTTAATTTTCACTGATTTATTGTTTTGAAAGTTTCCCTCGCCAGTTGACCTTTGACCTGTGACCTCCTTGGAGGTCTTTCTGTTGTAATCTTTCAGTCTGAGGAAACTGGTGATGATTTTTTTAAGGTTTACAAGCCTCTCATTTTTCAATAAATGTCAAGAATACTTGGCTTTTCATTCCGTCTCATTTGCGTTATTGTCGTCTATCTCCCACAATCAGCAAAATGACTAGAAGTGGTTCACTTTAAGTGCAGGGATATAAAATATTTTCGTTTTTAAGCTTATTTAGTATTTCCGATCATTTGAATTACATTTTATTATGACATGTATACTTGCATCTGGTATGCTAAAACATATTAATGTGTCGACAATAAGCTTTAATCAGCTTGTGTGTGTCTTTTTTGTTCACAAAGTTAAACTATGTATAACTGCATAAAACTTTAAAAATCTTTAACCTTTACTTTAAGCCCGTTTGCTGGTGGGGATATTTGTAACTGGGAATAAGTTGGTGCATTACTATGACTTGTTTTAATATTTGGCCAATAGTTACACCACATCATCATCGGCCCAGTGAAACGTTTCTGTCAAGATCGCTGCTTTTCACCTGACATCTTGCTTTCCCTGTGCATTGTGACTTCGGGGTTAAAGGTCAGGCTCAACATTTTAGCTTCGTTTCGAGGCATTGCGGATTAATTGTTTGCCTTGTTATGCGGCAGTGGTGGCTTACTTTTCATAGTTGTTTTTAAAATACTCATTTAGATTAGCCGATTCTATTCTATTCTTGTATTTATTTTTCTATTTTAAGTATTGATCAATGTTTCTATTCATACGTTTACGTTGTTATTTTTTATTTATTTATCTATTTTTTTATGTTATCAAGTTTCACCCTAATGGCGCATCATACAGAAGATAAATGCGTGAGATAAATGGGTCTCGTATAAACAACGATGGCGTATATCAACACAAATGTCGCACATGTGCACTGCGACGACCACTGCCCTTTAACAAAATTCCATCACACTTTAGTAAAGTCAATACCTTTGCTCATCT